ATCAGACAGTGATATGTAATTGATCATGCTGTCATACACTATTATCTTCAGGGATGGGAGCTGAAGTTGGACGAGAAGCCAGTGACGACGTTCCAAAACAGGGATAAACACCTGCGATCATAAGTAATAATTCATTTATTTGCGCACTTATTTATTAATACCTTTAAAAAATTTAAAAAATAAACACTAACCTTATCGACCTCCCACCATGCAGGATAAAGTTTAGCTTGTCCATTGCCCAACAAAAATGATTCATCTCGTTGATTCTTCAAGTGAACTGCGTGAAAAGCCGTCGGCATTATTGTATATAGCGAATTTTTTTTATTTTTCCTAAGCTTCCTTATTATTAGTAGACGTGACACCCACACATCGATATGCTGTTTTACAAAAAAATACATATATTAGTGAATTACATTAATTTTTAAACAAATTAATCAAAATCATATATAAGACAAATATAGTCTTACCTCCCCATCCAAATAGCCACTGTCTTCAACCCCTAATAGCACACCCCACCAAGACCGATCAAGCAACAAAAACATTTCATCGTTGAGTTTGCTGATGTCAGTGTAACACCCTTGGCTCCGCTCATGTAGATAAAAATCAACTGCAGTCTTAGCCCAAAGGGTATTATCCACAATTGTTTTCGGTAGTTGTCTCCTCTCCACTTCAGATACCGGAAGGGTACTAGCCGGTAACTCATACGAGAGCCAACTCTCATCCATCATGTCCGGAACCGGTGGGGGTTTCTCAATACTTCGATATATTACCCCATGTGGGGGGGAATCTTGAGGGAGAATAGGGGCCTCTTGAACGATTGGAGGGGACTCTTGAGGGATGACCGGTGAGTCGGGCTTCTTCTTGCGGAGTCTTCGCACCATTGGGGTGAACGGAGACGTAATAGCACGTCCACGCCGTCTGATGCGTGAACTCTGTCGTGCAAGGAAAACCCGACGTAAAGCATCCACCTTATCGGGCCGCTAAAAAAAATTAATACATAAATCAGTAAATAAACAGACATGATATTAAACAAAGACAAATATGTTTCAAACTAGCATTGTATTCACCCAAATCATTATTCTATCATAGTTCACAAAATGCTCAGATAACATTCCAGAAGTAAGCACTTATATAAACATTTAAAAGGACAACATATATAAACATTCCAGAAGAAGAATAGTTTACTTTCGCAACACGAAACTTAAAATCGCAACGCGAAATGACTATCGCAACGCAGAAATGGCTATCGCAATACGAAATGAAAATCGCAACGCGAAATGAAATCGCAACGACAAAATCGCAACGCGAAACACAAACCGCATTGCGATTTTCATTTCGCGTTGCGATTTTGTCATTGCGATTTCATTTCGCATTGCGATTTTGTCGTTGCAATTTTCATTTCGCATTGCGATAGCCATTTCCGCGTGCGATAGTCATTTTCGTGTTGCGAAAGTAAACTATTCTTCTTCTGCAAATTGAAACTTGAATGGATTGCATTACTTCAACCAAAAGACAAAAACAAAACCAAAAACAAATACTAACAAAAACAGATTGGCAGCAACCGAATGAATTACGAGTATGAAAAATCTTAAACTTACCTCGTTGCGTAGAGTATGAACCTCATTCTGCAATGATGCTACCATCTCACGTAGAGCGGCTACCTCACCACGTAATGTAGACACCTCAACACGCCATGCACCATCGTCTTTGCGTAAAGTACCGACCTCCTCACGCAAGGCATTGACCTCATCACGTAACTCCCCTAACTCATCCCGTTGAGGTGGAGGTGGAGAACATGGAGATAAGCGTCATGGCATCTTTGCCGGTCGCCTATCTTGCGGTGATGGTGGAGAAGAGGCTCGATGATGTGACAGAATAGGTGATGGCTGTCGTTGTGGAGGTGTATAGCCGGGTCGATCAGATGATGGCTCTGGGTGAGGTGATAGCTCTGGGCGAGGTGATGGCTCCCGAAGTGGAGGCTGCTCATCAACCGTTCCATCAAAAAAACGCTTACTAGCTTGCCACCAATCAGTGGCAAGCTCAGCTTCCGTGGGTGTCAGCCTCTGTAGAGGAGTGTTGGCCTCCTAACAATATAAAAGCTCAAACAAAGTTAAATGTGTACTAGTAATAACTTGTTTATAAACATATGGTAGTATTTATGTTAACTTACATTATTTATTGTCGTATACCGTAGTAAATCTTCCCATTGCAAGGTTCGTTTCCTCTTCCAGGAAATAGCCCTGGGAATATTATTTGAAGTTTTTATTGCATATGTCTTCATGGCGGGAAAGGCCTCAAATATCCAAATCTACAAACAATATAATAACAAACATTAGTAATTGTTAAATAATTACTTATAATTTTGGAAACATTATATAAAAATTCTTACCTTAAAGGCCCAAATAAAGCCTGTCAAAGTGTATTTGGAACCATCGCCATGCAAACTTTTTCGATCATCCAAGGCAGACGATAACTTATTCCATGTAGCTTTCCATAAATACGAGCCCCACGGAAACAGGTTCCACGCATTTAGGTCTTCTACCAATTTGATTAGATCATTTGGAATAGGTTGTCTGGCCTCTCTGCCTAAAAAGCCGGCATGCAAAAGAATTAGAAGGCATACTCGGACAACGTCGACGTCATCCATCCGAGTAAAACCATCTTTATTATTCAAAAATCTTGTCAGGTCTTCTACGTGTAGACTCGGCCTCTCCAGCTCAGGAAAAACCCGGGATATCCATGATGGGCGGGTAATGTGTCTAGTGTACCGACCTACATCATCGTGTCCGAAGCGTAGACCGGTGATTAAGCAAAACTCCTCTCGCCCAAAACACGTATACGCCGGTGGAAAATCAAACCATATCTCTTCATCACGACGTTGTATAGTCTCTGGTAGATCTCTAGTCATGGTTTGAAGAAACAGGTGTGTCAACATCGCATCTCCACCGGGATGTTGTACTTTCAGCCATGGCCCGAAGCATGTATCCTCAAACATTTTTCTTTGTGCAGGTGAAAGCTTCGACGCAATTGTTTTGGCCAGGCTGACTTTATTTCTCAAGGTCAATTGAGCCGAATAAAAGTTCTACAAAAACAATAAACATACTAAATTAGATATACCAAAAACTACACTGTGAAGATATACCAAAAATAATAATAAACATAAATAGTAGTAGTTTATTCTTCAAACTTAAATATGCAACACTGTGAATTTCGTATTTGTCTTTGTTTTTGGTTGAAGTAATGCAATTCATTCAAGTTTCAATTTGCAGAAGAAGAATAGTTTCTGAAAATGAAAATCGCAACACGAAAATGACTATCGCAACGAGAGAATCGCAACGCGAAACTAAAATCGCGTTGCGATTTGCATTTCGCGTTGCGATTCTTGATTGATTTAATAAGCAATCTAAGTGAAATGGTTAATCTATTATTGAAATTACCAGTAAACTTATCATCAATTTCAATATGAAAAACCTAATAATAATGCAAAAATTTCAAAAATAAAATAATTAAAAAAACTAACCCTCGTTGGTTGATTTGGTTGATTTCCATTTCTGATTGTGAGGGTGGCTCTGAGAGATTAGATAGACGGATTTCGCCGGAGATGGGGACGGATTTCGTCGGAGATGGGTGAGAGAGTGAGAGATGGAGATGGGACTGAGTTGTGATTTTAGGTTTTAGGTTATGAGTTGCGATTACGGGATATACTGTGGACAGTTCAGTGTTCCAATATATTAATATTCATGTTTGGAATTTAAAAATAAAATACTTGGCCAGGATACTAATGGCGCTTTGAAAATCGCATTGCGATTATGTATTATCGCGTTGCGAAAGTCAGTATCGCGTTGCGAAAGTAAGTATCTCGTTGCGATTTTTTATTATCGCATTGCGATAGTCAGTATCGCATTGCGATTTTCCCAATTCGCGTTGCGATTTACTTATTCGCATTGCGAATTGGGAAAATCGCAACGATACTGTAGACCATCGCAACGCGATTTTCAACTATCGCATTGCGAAAATGCAACGCGAATTTGCGATAATGGAGATCGCGTTGCGAATTAGCGATCGCATTGCGATTTTGTTGGTCATTTTGGTAAATCCGGAAAAAGTTGGTTAAAATCGTATATTATATGGGATTTTTGGTCACTGAGGTTATTTTCTCTTTTTTTTATTATTATTAATTACCGATATAGGTAAACACGGTAGAAAAATCCAGTAAAAATAATAATGTTTTCGGTTATTTTTACCAGTTTTGTTATTTAAATAATAACAAAACCGATAACGCATTTTTTAGTTGTATATTAAGGCTGTCGCATGTGAGCATTTTCCAAACTACATCCATCCAGCTAAATACAACCAAGTCGGGTGTTTCCAAATCTATTCCACGCTAGAAGATTCTCGTATCTTAAGAGTGCGTTTGATTCACGAAGTGTAAGATTATCAGTGAGAATAAAAGATTATCGAAAAATAGGATTATTGAGAATGTTGTATTTTGTGTTTGGTTAGTTCAGCATGAATGTAAGATTACAGTGTTTGATTAAATGAATAAAAGATTATTAAAATGTATATTTTACCAAATTATCTTTATTATATATTTATTTTTTTAATAAGTTAAATTCTACTATAATTAATTTATATATATATTTTAAAAATTTTAAATTCATAAAATTTATATAATTTTTTTTACAAAATTAAAAAGATAAATAAGATTAATGAATGATAAAATTTTATTTTAACTCCTGGATTTTATATAAAATTTTAATTATTGATTTTTTTTGTAAATCTAAAATAATTTAAAGATAAATTTATAATTTAAATTTTGTAGAATTTTTATTATTTAACGACCGAAGAATGATATTTTTTTTTTAAAAAAATCAAGAGTATTTTAATCTAAAACGCTGATAATCTATTAATACCTAAGAAAAAAGATAATCACATTCCTGATAATATACCTAAAAAAATCCACCATTTATAATAAAAGATTATCAGAGGCCGAAAATGCTAGTCTAAGGAAGAATGAAGATTGTATTTCTCTGATAATCCCATATGCATGCCGTGAACTAAACGGCCCCTAAATAACACAGGAGAGTGGAGAAGATGAAGACTCGAAAAATTTCATACATTTTTTCTTCTCATTTCCAAAGCACTAATTTATCTTGGGATTTTAGGGCTTGGTCTTGGACTTCCTGGACACTTCATCTTCCTCGTCGTCAGAAGAGCCTTCCAGCAATTCATCGGGAACATCAGTTGGAACGTTGGGTTTGGTAATAAATTCCTTAAATACTCCCATACTTTCTTCTTTCACAGAAGACAGCTGCTCAGAGACGGCACCAACCGCTTTGGAATTCACCGTGTATAATTCAGAACCCAGCCTAAGCGTCACTTTAACCTTGGATTGACCATCCATTGTCACAATCTCTACATTTTTAGGAAATCCGAAAAGAAAAATTAGAATCCAACCAAAAGTGGCATTAATTTTTTTTTCTAGAATCCTTATTTTTTTTTGTTTGACCCTTAATTCGGTGCTTTGGGTCCTCCAGATGCGCCATAATTATACAAGTATGAAGGATTCTTCCCTTGTTTTCTACAAATAAATTTAAGAAGTGGAGTTCTACCTCTAACATTATCCACTACCAATTGAGGTAACCATTAATGCGTAAAGAATAAAAGGGAGAAGGGAACTGTTACCTGAGAGAATCAAAGGAACTCTGAAGCTCTTTGTTTCTTTGCTTGCCTTACTTTCTCCGCTGTTTCAGGACCAAATGCGTTTTTAAGAGTTGGGCTCTAGATTTGGGGTTTTTTATTGAGTAAACTACATGTTTAGTACCTAAAATATTAATTCTATTTCGGTTTAGTACCTAAACTTTTAATTTTTAAAAAATCATATCTAAAGTTTGTTTTTTATTTCATTTTAGTACCATCACCGTAAAAATGGGATACTAAAATGAAATAAAAAGTAAAAAATGGGTACTAAAATGAAACAAAAAGTAACATTAGGTATGATTTTAAAAATATTGAAAGTCTAAGTACTAAAAGGGAACAAAAGTAATACTTTAGATATTAAAGATGTAGTTTACTCTTTTTTATTTTGTCGAAACGACGCCACTTTGATTTCTTTATCGTGAAATTGTGATAAACCGCGGGACAAAATTAGATTTGAGTTTTGTATGCAGACTGGATCTGTTTGTTTGTTAAAAATGAAAAAAAAAGTAATACTTTTTCAACTATTAATGAAGTAATATTCAATTATAGAATTAATTTTTTAATTTTATATTAATTTATGGTCTTTAAATGAATGTACATTGACGATTGAGGTTAAAAATTAAAAATAATAAAATTTTGATAAAAAAGTTAGATAATCTTAATTATCAATTTACTCTCATACAATTATTTTAAGTTAATGTTATTCCCTTTTTTACACTGTGTACAATAAATCCTACCCTCACTCTAAAAAATGAAAAATGAAAAAAAAATATTTCAGTATTAAATGTCATTTTGGTTATTGAAAAAATATATTGTTATCATTTTAATATCAAAATAATTTGATAGTTCAATTTAATCCATGAATTTTTCAATTGTTACCTTTCTTATTTTTAGTTTAAAAAACTTACATAAATATAGATCATAGATTTGTCTGAACTTATTGGCTAAGATTTTTTTTTTGTTCTTATTATTTCGAGAGTATAAAGTACTCATCAAGGATGATATAAAAGTTGAAACAAAACAGATGCATGTTTTTAGCATATCCATTGTGTCGTAACCGGTTTTTGTCCGGGCGCGAAATTTTTACTTGGCAGGAAAAGTGATGTGAATAAATTAATGATTTTGATTTTTAAAAAAATATTTTGGGAGTCGCCATCGGCCTTTTGGGTCAGGTAGGTCGAATATCTAAAAAATCATCTTTTAAAAGAGTTTTTAAGAAAACATCATTTAAAAGATAAACTGATCTGCGTTTAACCAAAAATTCGTTCTTTTTAGAAATAAAAAGGGATTCGTGGTCGGTTACGTTTAGGGAAGGATTAACACCCCTACAACGCCCAAAATTGATACTTCTTAATTATAAATTGTCTCTATTATTAGAAATTTAAATTTTCAAAAATATATTTAATTTATAATCCTATTATTTCAAAATTATAATTATAAAAAAAATATTAATTTATATATTTATAAATAAAATATTTATTTATTTAGAAATATCAGAAAAAGACTTCTAGGTGCCTTAAGACAGCTCTTTTCTTCGATATTAAAAAATAAATAAATAATTAAAACAATTAATATATAATTTAAAAAATAAGATATTTATTTATTTAAAAATATCAGAAAATGGACATCCAGTTGTTTTAAGACTGCCCTTTCTTAATATTGAAAAATAAATAAATATTAAAACATGATTAAAATAAGTTAAAAGTAATTAAATAAGATTTTAATAAATAAAATAAATATTTTTATTATAAATATATATTTATGGCTAAATAATAATAATAGTAATAATAATTAAAAGTAAACATATAAAATTAACATATAACTAAACAATGAATAAAATTAAAACTATATATTTAAAATAAATAAAACAAAATTGAAATTAGTGACTAAATTATAACCTAATAGAATTAAATACCTAATTTATAATTAATTATTTAAAATTACAGGGATTAAATATGTTATTTTACTCATTTATTAATTTACGGACTAAAATAAAACTATATTAAATTCATATATCAAATTAAAGAAATTAAAACATGTTATTCGGGGTTTAAAATATTAACTAATAAAGTTACAAGGACTAAATCGGTTATTTTAATTAAAACATATATTTTATGTTAATGACTAAATTATAAGTTAAATAAAATTAAAAGATCAAATTAAAACGATCATAAATTGATCAGTGACTATAATGGAAAATTACAAAGTTACTGGATTTCGGACAGAGTTTGTCCTTTAATTAATTACACACAGACTCCTCCCCAAAACGACGTCGTTCGGAGAGGGGTATATAAGCCCCAAACCAGACGGCCTTTCGGCCAAAAATCAGTTTCTCCTTCTCTCTCTTTCTGAGAGAGTTTTTTAAACTCTCTCATCCCTCTCTAACTTCCCTCATCGGAGGGAAGCCAGTCACCGGCCGGTATCCTTGTGCCGCCGATAAACTCACCGCCGGCCACCGCTTCCGGTGGCCGGAAAAGCAAAAACCTCCCGAACGATAGATCTGAGTGATCTACGTTCAACTTTGTCCTTAGTTTTCCTTAAAACGTCCCGTATTTGCCTAGATCTAAGAAAACTACCTTTGGTATTTTGTTTCTACGGCGGCCTATGAACTCCGGCGACGTCGCAGCTTCTTCGGTAAGGCTTCTCTTAATTTTTGCTTTGATCTTTTGATGGTTTTGGTTGCTGTGTTCTCTCTGTCCTTTTTTTTTCAGGTTCGGTTGATGGCTTTATAGCCATCACCGACGCTTATCTCGGACCGGGTAAAAGAGTAGAGTTTGGTGAGTCACCAAACTTCCAGTGGTGACTCACCGTTGGGGCGACATGTGTGCGGCTGGAGTGGTTCTTCTGGAAACTTTCGATGAGGCGTGGCACTGACGGCGGCGTGGCAACAGCTGAAGCGTCAACGTGGAGGCGGTGGTTGAGCAGAGGCAGCGGCTGGCCTTCTGGAAGATTGAGGCGACTGGGAGCTAGGGTTGATACAAACCCTAAACATTTAGGGTTATTGTTGGGCTACCAAATATGGGCCTTTGTATTTGGGTTGGGTATGTAATAGTAAATAAATAAAATTATTTAATAATAATAATAATATAATAATTATTATTATAATTATAATAATAATAAAATATAAATAATATTCAAATAAAAAAACAAAAAAAAAACGAGTATCTTCAGCTGCCCCTCTTTGCTTATTCTTGTATTAACAAGAATAGGGAAAAGACGAAAAGATAATAAGTTTTTTTTCATTTGACTTCACTTGGAAATGTTGAACTAATTCTTCTTTGGGATTAGTTCTTCTCATTATGAACTTCTTCTTCTTCAGATGAGTTCTTCTCATTATAAACTCCTTCTGGAAATGCTGATGATGATATATCTCTTTATGTGATAGAGTTATGCAAAAGGTTGAACAAGTTCTTTTCATTATGAAATTCCTCTTCCTTTTTCAGATGAGTTCTTCTCATTATGAACACTTCTGGCAATGCTGATCCATCAAATGATGAATTCAAACAAAAGATTGAACAAATTCTTCTTATTATGAACTTCTTCTTCCTTCTTCAAATGAGTTCTTCTCATTATGAACTTTCTCTGGAAATACTAATCCATCAGGTGATGGATTTGAGCAAAAGGTTGAACAAGCTCTTCTCATTATGAACTTCTTCTTCCTTATTCAGATGAGTTCTTCTCATTATGAACTTTCTCTGGAAAAGCTAATCCATCAAGTGATGGATTTGAGCAAAAGGTTGAACAAGCTCTTCTCATTATGAACTTCTTCTTCCTTATTCAGATGAGTTCTTCTCATTATGAACTTCCTCTGGAAAAGCTGATCCATTTAGTAATGGATTTGAGCAAAAGGTTGAACAAATTCTTCTTATTATGAACTTCTTTTTCCTTCTTCAGATGAGTTCTTCTCATTATGAACTTTCTTTGGAAAAGCTGATCCATCAAGTGATGGATTTAAGCAAAAGGTTGAACAAGCTCTTCTCATTATGAACTTCTTCTTCCTTCTTCAGATGAGTTCTTCTCATTATGAACTTTCTCTGGAAAAGCTGATCCATTAAGTGATGAATTTGAGCAAAAGGATGAACAAATTCTTCTTATTATGAACTTCTTCTTCCTTCTTCAGATGAGTTCTTCTCATTAAGAACTTTCTCTAGAAAAGCTGATCCATCGAGTGATGGATTTGAATCTTTGCTAAAATCTTTGAAATTCCTGTTAACATTTAACATGTATAAAATGAATGAAAATGCACCTATTTTTGCAAATGCCTAAATATGATGCATGAATATTAAGCTCATTTTTATTTGATTTCAAATTGGTGAACTCGGTCTTTCTTCAATTGTGTAGAAATCTAATAAATCTTTCCTCTTCGAATGGAGAATCTATCATCTCTGAAGAGTGTAGATGTAGATATGCCTGAATTTTTGCATGATGTCACAAAACCACTTGAGAATAAAACTCAATAATATAGGCTCTTGAAAAGCTCGCACTCATGCAACATGTTGATTCTGATAACTACTTATCTGATCATGAAGTGATCTTTCAATATGATTTCACAGATATTGATAGTTCTTCTGATACCGAGGAAATCCTGATTTCTGATTCTGATGAGGAGAGTAAACTGTTATACTTGACGAAAATGGGATACTCAAATGCTAAGTCTTCAATAGTCATAGAGATGTGGTCCTAATTCATCAATTGCAGAATTGACAGATTTTATATGTGCTGCTCAAATGGCTAAGGCTGTTGACACACTTCTTCCGGTAAAAGATAGGAAGCCATTATGCAATGATCCCAATTACAAGAAAAGGCGAAACTTGGGCTATGATTTTCTTAGAAAAGAAGAAGCATAGGTAGCTTGGAAAGAAGACAATCATGCAGTTCATCTTCCTAATCCAATGATTGATTTTGGAGTTCTTACCAAACCAGATCATATAACTCAAAGAACACTTCCAGAAGATGTTATTGAGTCTCCTTATTTATACTATGATAACATGGTGGTTGCTTCAGTTGGTGTTTGGACCAAAAACATCACAGTACTTATATGATGTAGAGCC